TACACACATACATACATACATTCATACATACATATATACACACACATATATATATATAGATATATTATAGTCATAGTGTGAATTCCGTGCCGCGGAATCATGTTGTATGACGCGCGCTTCAAAAAAGGGCGGCCGCGTGGTCTTGACCTGCTGGCCGCCGATTGAAAAGCTTGCAGCCGTACGACAAGCGCAAATCGAGAAGGTACCAAGACCTTGACCTCGTGGAGAACGAGGCCCCCCTTTCGCTCCAAGCTACTAGTGTGGCATCCACAGCATTGGTAACGGAGCTACGGCTCCAGGGTATTCGATGGCAGCTGCAGCAGAGATATCCCACCGCATCGCCGACTACTGTTAGCGTGAGTGGAGACACTCCATACAGGCGCAAGCTGGCACTTAGACTTCAGAGCAATGAGACAGAAGCTGTGACGGCTTTATCTTGAAATCCCGACGTGGTGATTCTGCCGATCAAGCATCCGCAGGAGCATGGGCAGATCTTAGTTGCGTATGGAGCGCAGGGGGAATTGCGCGTGAGGTTTCGACCAAGAAGCGCGTTTTCAGGAAGCCTCCCCTTGCTGGAAGGAAGCGTGTACGGAGGCTTGACGAATAACTAGTTGACCTTGACGCCGGGCGCAAAGAGCTCATTGAGAAGTGCGTGGCTTTTGTTCATCCGGATCTTGAGCCCGCCAAGCTCGAGGAAGTGGTCTACCACCTGTTCGGTCAGGGCTTCAAATCCAAAGTGAAACCTTGGTGGAACAAGATGAACAAAAACAAGACGAAGGGTCGCTGGCACACCACCAATGGCACACCACCAAGAAGACCAACTGCCTATCCCCCTCACGACTATGAGCGTGAAGAACCTCAACCTGAGGCAGGGCCTATGCCCAGTTCGACGACGAGGCCGATGAAGATCACCTTCTGGCCAAGCCCAGCAGGTTGCCATAGGCCATCTTCATGTCACATTCAAGCCTTTCAATATAGGCCTTCCAACCCAAAGGGGTGTGGAACCCTCAACAACAAAGCAATTGATCAGATCTTGCTCACGTAGACCGGAAAGCGAACAGGCCAGTCAGCGCGTCGCAAGGCCGAAGAGTTTGGATGCGTGCTGAGGTATACTGGACTGCGTGCGGCAGCGATTACAAAAGGCCATTCAGAGCATCCGGAACAAAGGAGCAACCCTCTTCATTGACTTAATTCGATCTGACAAAGACATGAAGTGTCCAGCGATGAAGACAATGAAGAACTAGATTCCATCTGTGAAGAAAGACAACAACGACGAACTCAATGCGCCAGAGTTTTCGGCGACCACTGGCATGACAGGAAGACATGGGCAAGACTCCATGACATTCCAATACGCGAACTCTGACTTGTCTGAAAACGTCCCTTCTGACCGTTCCAGCAGTGAGCGCATCGCCAATATCTACCGTGAATTGCCTCATCCAGAACGTCAACGCGGTCGAGACCACTGGAGACCCTCTGACGCCGGACGCTCCTTGCGCACCGCTGGACTGGTTCAACTGCCTTCATCATTGAAGATTCTGCGCAATCTGACTCCGGCGACACGATCCAGCGTCTCCCTCGACCAGATCCACAAAACGACGCTGATATGCCTCCACATGATGATGATCCTCAAGAACAACAGCCAACAGGACTCAGTTGCACTGCCATCGTACCATCAAATATCACAACAGGCGCTCGAACAGAATCTGAAAATTACCACTCCAGCAGCTGCTCCCGTGGAACCACAACCTCTTCAGAAATACCAGAGTCCTGATCATGCGCCACAGTTCCATGACACTGGCGCTGCAGAAGGGCGTGTCCTGGATTCGCGCTCATGGAAACTTCCAAGTATTGCCCTCGCTTTCAGCAGAAGCTCAGTTAGGCAGCCTGTGATGCTTCGGACTCACCGGTGTTTGCAAGCTTGGGAACCCTACGAGGCCTTGGACAAGGTCGAGGCTCGAGACAAGCCAGATGGTGCAAGCACCAAACTTGGTCATCGAGTCATCGACGCCAAAGCCCTCTACGATGTCCTCACCAAAGATGAGATACAGCTGCAGCCAGCGCTGACAAGTGCGCAACAAACTCTGCTCTGCACGGACAAGTTGGCTTGCTCCTGTGGCAAAACAATGTGGGTGTCATCAGAACTACAGTATGCAGATGGCTTGGCAAAACAAAGTGCAGCCACACTTTTTGCACAGCGTCTTGGCTCTCATATGATGCGCCTGAAGAGTGACACAAGCTTTCAAGCCTTCAAGAAGAAGAAGAAGAAGGTATGTGCTGCAGAGAGAGTACAATGCTGAGAGCCCCGAGGCCATGGCTTCCTTGCACTGGTTCTTTTCTCTATGTTTCTTGGAGTGAACGGCATGACGAACTGGTGGCAGCCTCACCACTCCAACATGGAGACCGTGCCCCATGAGATGCACATTCACCCACCCAAACAGAACACCGTGAAGAGGAAGTTTCCAGCTTTAAGAAGAACAAGACAGAGCAGGAAGCTGCGTCAAACAAGGGTGGGCGCGTGCATGCGCCTTGAGCTGATGGCCGCCGACCGGCCGTTGTGAGCAGAAAAGCTTGCGGCCGTGCGACACGCACAAATCGAGAAGATACGAGACTTCGTTTGCTTGAGCTCATGGACTACGACACTGCCTTTTTGCGCCAAGCTACCAGTGTTGTATTATTGATTATTGCATCCAAAACACATATGTCATATGTTATATAAATTTTGACATATATATATATACACACATCAGAACGCTTTTTGGACGAAACAATAATGTATTGACAATTTCAAGGTGCTGCTACTGTTCCGGTGTCTTGCGATTGGGGCTGCTGTTCAACAGGAGGCTTCTCAGGAGTGGTCGGGCTTTGGCATTGCTCGGAGTAGACCTACAAGGGGTTGGGTTATGTCACATCAGTGCGTGTGAAGTAGCATCACTTCATGGCCGCGCGTGGAAGCGTGAAGTCACATCAGCACGTGTGAAGTCACATCATGCTGTCTCAATCACCATGGACACGCGTTCGCATCCTATGTTTGGAGATTGACTTGTTTGGAGCCCACGCCTGTAAATTTACATGGTTTTCACTTTGGAATGTACAAAAATGGACTACTGTTCAGAGTTGTATCCCAATGTCCACGCGGTTTGGAAGATGAGGTTGTATGGTGCCAGGGATCTGTTGTTGGGATGTGAAACCCCCATGGCCACGCGACCCAACCACTGGGGAAGAGGCTAAGGACTAATTGTTTCTTGTGATTCTTACAAACAAGGCTTTCAAGGAAAAGATGTGTTTGGAGAGGAAGTATATGTGGAACAACCCTGTCTCTCTCATTGGAATTGCGATTCTCAGGGGCTACTGAAAGCAATGTCTTTGAGTTGTTTGTGTACCAACACAATGGCAATTGCACACATCCATGGTAGTTCAAAGCTTCAACACCAGCATCGCCACCATGAAATTGCAGCACAAACAACATGTGCCTCCCCATGCTTTCAGCCATGACAGCTCAAATGCAGCCCTTTTCTTCTTCCAAGTGCTGTGTGGTGCGTGTGTGTGTGTTTAGCGACAGCAGTCATGCATTCTCTGATCACTTCAGATCAGAGACCTTCACAAGCCGACTTTTAACGGCACTGACCCAAAATTTGAGCAACTTTCTACGGGCCGTCCCTGAAGCGAAGTCACCCTTGTCCAATGACTCGTTTCTAAAATGCCTGCTGAGAGGCAAACCTCGGGGCTTCGTTTGATTCAAGTGTGCGCAAAACTGTGCTACAGCACGGTCAAATTCATTCACGGTCACCGGAGAAAAGGCATCAACAAGCTTTTGGTTGACATCGTAGGAAGTTATGCTACATTCTGTTTAGTTTTAGGTATGCCTGAGCTTGCTTGATCATTCTGGTGATGGCACAGTCTTGGTCATTGATTTGGTTTTGCAGTTGCACATGTAATGCGTTCTCTAAGAAATCCTTTGTGTGCCTGTCTGTCTCGACAAAGTAGCTGCGCCAATGCAGAAGTCTTTGCATAAAACACTTCATGTCAGAGATAGTGACCTTGGAAAAACTTACACTCATAGCTCATCCCTCATTTCAAAGCTGACATGAGAATGCTGCCTGGGATTCAGTAAATGCCCACATGTGGTCTGGTGGAAACAGCCGCGCCAATGCGCTTTGTGGGAGAACAGGTGAATGTCATACATACTTAAGTTGAACCAGGGCTACACCTACAACCCAGTTCCCCAAGGCCACGCGGTCACGATGCGACTTTACAAAAGTTGATGCGACTTAAGTCTACCCCCCAGTACGGGCTTGCGGATACACGCCACAGAAAGCGGACAAAGAAACAAATTAACATGTTCTATAACTACACAATTTCGAAACATGCGGCACATTGGAAAGATATACAGTATGTTTGCCAAGTGTAATTGTAATCCTTTTTAGACACCAGCAAAGTTTATAAGTTAGTAGACTGGCTTCAACACAATACCAGTAGGACAGTACACCATCAAAAAGGCTTTCAGCACCGTCAGCTTCAAACTTTTAGATTTGTTGAGTTCGTGCGACCATTCTGGCTCTTCGTACTTTTTGGTCATGTGGGTTCTTGGCTCAAGTCTTCTTGGGGATAACAACTTTTTGCTGTGAAGCTTCGGGCGAAATTGTTTTTGCCAACCAGGTCTTGGCAACTTTTGATCATCAGTCTCAGGTGGAGTGAGAACAATAAGGGGGGTCTACAGCGAGAGGCTGGATTCAGCGGCGCAGGTCAGCACAGAGCGTGACGTATGCAATATGAAGGTATGGAAGAGGCTCTCCGAGACTGTAGCAACAAAGACAAAGCTGGCAAGAAAGTTCGCACCACCAACTATCATCCATCAATTATACATCTAGCCAGCCGGGCCAACTGTTGGGTCTGCCCTAGAAGGGAGGACACAACAACTAGCGGATTGACTGCAACACAAAGAACAGCCGAACAGCTTTGAACGTCAACATGTCAATCTGGATCTAGCTTGTCGGGCTCACTCTCAGAATGGCCGCTGGAATTGCTTTGAGCGGTCATCACTGCCTACAAATCAATGAAGACAAATGCATTGAACCGTGATGCGCTCCAAAGCATTTGCTTCTTGTTTGTACTCCATTTCCAGTTTAAACATGCTCAGCACACGTAGCTATTCCAGCGCCTGATCTGCTCGGTTTTGAGCAGGACTTTGACTATCCCCCTGTCAATTTTGGTTATATATTTATTCAACATGGGTCCACTGGTGTGTCTCAAATCAGCTCCATTGCCTCAAGAACATCCGCCTCAACCATGGCATAGCATATCCTGAGCACAAAGGATAATTGTGGGACAAACATATCCTCACGAGGGGGAGCGCGCTGTCACGATGAAACTGGGCCAGTGGCCGCATAGCTGTGTTCGCCACATGGGGTTCAAGGAGCATGGAGAAATGATCGCCACTCACTGCGAGCACCTGAAACTCCGCACTGGCATCAAAATGAACGTAGCGCTGACAAAAGATCTTGGGATGTGCAATGCATCAGAACAGGCTAAGCCTAGCTGATTCAACATACAAAATGGTACAGTTTGGCAGCCTTTCACGAGCGGACACTTAGGCACCCGGCAGCAAACAGTTCCAAACAAATGTCCCATGTCAAATAGTTGTCGGCGGACAGCGACATAATGAACTTTTGAATCTTTTTCGAACTCCATGACCCCAATCTGGATAGGTGGAGGCTTCATTGAAACACATGCAAGGGATGTGCAGAGTGTTTTGCTGTGTGCACCGCCACGATAAAACGCAGCGATTTGAGCGTGCGATCTTGTGTGTGTGTATATAACCCCGTTTGAATTCGATAGCCGGGGGTCAGGGCTTCGTTCAAATTCGTTCCAACTCGTTTGAATGCGTTGAACTCTAAATCATGCGTTGCTTGGCTGTAAAGTGCTAATGAGTCTCTGATACCACCTGGAAGCACGCTTGGTGAGTGGTGAAGTCGCGATTGTGTGACGCAGTGCAAGGTGACTTGATGTCAAAACGCAATACGAACAGCGCAAATCGAGCGTACATAAACGATCCATATATGCTGCAAAATGACCCTGAATGTGTGGCCGGGACTGGCCGTTTCCAACCAACTCTGGCAAACCAGTGGAGATCGGCCGATTGGCACAGGCAAAGGTACAGCGACGTGAAAAGGGATTTCTGAGCAACGTTAAGCTCAAAGGAGCAACAGCGTCACTTGCTGGGGTTTTACTTCCAGGACAACTTCCCGGGAAAGATTGCTCAAAGAGCAAGTAAGCGACATGAGAAAAAAGGAAAACAAGCCTCCGTCAACTTTGGCAACACCACCAGCTGGTTCAGGACAGTTTTAGGGGAAGCACATTGGCTGTTGAGGCTCAGCGCACAAGCACAAATCTCTTTACATATGACATGTCATGTCACCTCCCTGGTTTGACATGGCTATTGTACAGGTGAGGGTCACGCACTTGGATTTCATTTGACATGCGTGGTCACGCAGCCAGCTTGCTTGCAAGTGAATACACACAATGCGAGGAGACTAAGCGGCAAAAAGTCAAGGGGCTTTCAATGTCCAGGCCATTGAAGCAACGCCAGTGGATAAAAAACTGCCAAAACATGCAACATGAAGCGGCGCAGTTAAGTGTGGCGGCTTGGCGCCGATTGCTTGCCGTCTCAGCGCTGATTGATTGATAGCCTTACTTGCAAACAGTTATAAAAGTTGGAATTTGATAGCCTGACATTCTGCTGAAGAATGGCACCTACCCTGAACGCAAGGACCATCTGCCACCCTAGTCATGCAAACTTTTCGCCAAGCACGGACTGCTTGCCTGTACCGCATTCTCTGTGTGGATCTGCAAAGGCAAGTCTGAAGACAATTCAAGAGAATGTGCTGAAGCAAGCCAAACACTTTAAACAATGAAAATTGATGAGGTGTGATGGGCTGTTTAGGTAGGGAGGTATGAGGGATTAAGCAAAATGAGGGATGAGGCCATCCCTGGCCAGAGCCTGATCCAAGCATGTCTGGGCTAAAGATTGATGAGAAAGGCCTCACAAAGTCATGCATTGAACCGCTCTGATTGCGTAATGCCAGTGGGAGCTGCTCTTGTCAAATGCTAGGCGCACGCGGAGGGTCTGATGTGAAGGGATTGTCAGGACTACACTTGGCCACCCCATCCCCCACCCTCTTGATTGCAAAAGGGTGCTGCTGTGTTTTCTGCCCTGGTGGACTCCTTAAACCACTCTGTGCAGGGCAATGCCTTTGGAATCATTGCACTTGGTAAAAGTTCCAAGGTGCACCACGGGTGGAATTGGGTGGGCGAATCTGAAGAATGTCTCAAGCTGCCTTGCACGTGTCAGAATTTGTTGAACTTTCTTGACACCAGAATGAAGTCTCAACATGTGGAAGAACCTTGAATGCTAAACGGATTCGGTGTTCAAAGAGGCTGCAAGTGTAGCGGCACCTGCACACTCTCTGCGCTCCATGCTCGCAAGCGCTCTGCTACATTGGCATCACGCTGGAAGACTTGGGCCTGACCACAAACGCCAAAGATAATCTCAATACTATACTTCAAAGGATCAACTCAAAGACCCGAAACCTTTCCTAAAGCCCAAATGTCTGCGAAACAGTTTTCCTTAATATTGCTTCAGCAGTCTTCGACCAAAGCAATGACCAAAGCAATGAAAAGCGAAGCGCAACCCTGAGCATTGGAACGCATTCACTTGCCTGGACATTGCGCACGATCCTGGCGCTCGCAGCCTCATTGGGCACCTGAACAAAGTCGAGACATGATTGAAACAAATGTCCTTGAGGAATCAAAGATGGGTAAGCATTGACAGTATCAGTGTTGAAAACGACGAAAGACATGTTGCAAAAGGCTTTACACAATATGACCGCCCGGACATATGCTTGGGCATTGGCATCGGTCAGCCAAGCTTCTTCTGCGCGGAACCAGTGGACCCTGCAAGTTTCATCAAGTTTCAACAGTTTTTGCATTGGGCACACAGGATATTGTAGCACAAACAATGTATGTCGTATCCTGGCTTGGAAACAGTTGCACAAATTTATATTATATCCACTTAACTTCAACTCTCTGCATCATTCCGGCAAATCAAACTTGGAAGCGTTCACTTTCTCGCCCGCACACCTGGCCCTCAAATGTGCCGTCTCGCCTAAAGCAATCTGATGTCGTGCTGACACTACCCTTTAAATGGATTCAGATGGGTTGTCCTGTAGTGATTTCTCTAACCATGAGTTGCAAACGCAAAATGCTTGGATTTGAAGGTTGCTTGATTCGTTTTGCAAAACACAACTCTGCTACAGTTTGCTTGGTGCGATCAATCAGTGAACCTCTCTGCCTATTGTCTTCTTCATTCACCACCTTGCTGTGCGCGCTTTACACTGAGGTGGCGGCATGCATCTGATAGTAAAGTCGCATACCAATGGAATGTTTGATGGACATGTTCCAGCGTAGCAACAGCAGCTGCACCTGAAGAAACGCACATTTTAGTGCTACGAGAAAGCGCTGTGCCGTGAATCTTGTGGTGTGTTGTTGGGTTTTCCCAATCCAATGCCATTGTTGTTTTCACTTCACGGGACATTGTATTGCAGTAACGGTATCGGTACTATTTGACGGGATCAAGCCTAGACGTTTGAAGGTTGCTGTTTGTGCTGCAGCATCTTGTTCCTGGAGTTCCTGGCCAAAACCCACTGAACAAACACAACCATTTGCTTGTTCGTGGGCCATGTTTCAATCGACTCACTTTAAATCAAACACAATCAGTATTCAATTACTGCATATCAATACTCTCGTTCTTCCTCCACCAGTGAGGCATAGTGGGCACCATCGGCCACGGTCTTCGACAAGAGCGCCACCGTCTCCACAAGCCCCGCTTGGAGCAACACTTCACCTTCTCACAAACCACTCGAAAAAATATTGGGTCCCGAAACCTTTTCGCAAGGGAAATGCAGCAAATGGTTTGACCCTGCAATGTGAACATGTCTAAACACTATGAACTCTAGTACGCCTTCGAAAGCAAAACCTTTTGATTTCAACCCAACCAGAAGAACATATGGTTTTCGTCACTCATAAACACAAAGGGTTTGCCGGAAGGAATCAAATTGGTTTGTTTTCGTTTTGTATCGTGATCATGTCTTTAGACCTTTTCGGCCATACATAGGGAACACACCGGAGTGCCGCTAGTAGTAAGGTTTCGTTTGCAGGCGGGCCCACATGAGGTATTTTTTGGCGGTATATGTTTTTTTCAGAGTACTTCTTTGAGGACTCTTCACTATGTGAATCGAGTCCAACATGTTGGACAAACCATTGGTTTTTGACCCTTACAGTCAGACCCAAAGTTCATTTAAACAAATACACCGGCAAGGGACCCCAAATAGTGTAAAGAGGAACAGATGGAACATGGCATCGTGGAAGGAAAGAAGGAGCACACAAATGAGAGCACAAATATGAGAGGATACATACAAGAGCACAAATGTGAGAGTGCACAGATGAGAGCAGCAGATGCGGAAGCATGTGAAAGACCAGAAGGACCAGGCGTGAGTTTGTAAGGAGGAGAGTGCGACCAACGTAGTGCCAAAAATGCTAGAGTAGTATGGCTTGAAGGTCGTGTGAGAGCACATACAAGCACAAATCTGAGAGCACATAGGCGAGTACATAGGAGCATTTCGAAGTTCACACTGTACCGCGCCTGCCACGAAATCTGCACATCGAGGTTCACAAAGTACTGCGCCTGCCACGAAATCTGCACATCGAGATTCACAAAGTGCTGCG